GCTGATGGGCTAGCAACAGCTGAGATGGACTTCCCTTGTTCCTAAGGAAAAAATCCGTTACTCTGCAGCCATGAAATAGTGTTTTCTAGTTCTCATAAAGTCCCTTAGAAGTTTCAGAAAAGTAACGCACTACTGAAGTATCAACACACAGAATCTTAAAAGACTCATTTCTTGTTAAGCTGTCTCAGCTTCAGCCTACCAACTGAGCCAGCCCAGCTTGGGTTATATTTCACTCACTTTTCCAAAATCCACTACTGCTGAGTTCTGGATTATCCCTGTCTAAAAATTCAGTCCCCCTGTGTCTGAAGGTGAAATTTGGTTTAGCAGCAGGAAGGTGTTAACACAACCGCATTGTGGAGATTAACATTATAATAAATCCTCAAAAGAACCAGAAATATCCAACACACTCAAGATACCTATTTTTGATGAAAGCTTCAAGAAAGTAATAAAAGAATAGTAGGTCAGTTATTAATTTTTCTTGGAACACCAACAAGTGCTTGGCAAGAAGCAACATGTCTGCAATATAATTTTTTACTTTTGATTTAATAAGAATCTCCATATACCATTTACTTTCTCTTACTCAAGCTCAGTATTTATTATTTCACCTGCTTTGAACTAGGAACTGTGATCTCATTAATAAAAGGTTAGAAATAGTGTTTAGCTTCATCGTAGTTCCTGTAAGTATCCCTGTACCAGCACTGAAAAAAGAGCATGTGATACACAGCAGCAGCATTTGTGGTGATTCACAACTTATGCCCCTCCCACGTCAAAAGATCTATAACTACCCATACACACGAGTGAGAAAGGGTAGAAGGGCTCCCCTTTTTCTGTGCTCAGGTCCTAACAGGGGACACAGCTGCTATCCTGGCACCTTTGAGCAGTTAAGATGTTCCTGGTTGTACTTGCTAGCCTGCAAAGAGAGTAAGAGCACAGAAGGTGGTAGCATCACCCTCTAACTGGCCAGGTTCTCCAAGCAAATAGCCACTATGCCAAAAAACCTGCTGTGTCCACCACACGTGTCTAAAATGCATCAGCTCTTCCAGCGTGACAGCATGGCAACATGACAGTATGATTAAATGACTATCTTTACTCATACTAGCTTTAATGTAATGAAAGCTAAGGTAAAAAGAGTAGTGATACCTGATAAGGGTTTGCAACATGAGCAACTCAGCAAAGGAAGAGCTCATTTCAGACAAGAGTCTATATCATATCTTATGAAGTGTGGTCTCCCTTTTTCTGCTAACAAGTCCTGTGCTGCTACCCCACTACAGTGCTGTCTGCTCAGCTTCTTGGCAATATCTAGTTCTCATAAAGCATACTTACTCCTTCACTATGCTAACAACAACATAAGCAGTTTTAGTATATACTACTGTCTCTGGTGAGTTGATGTGTGTAATGTCCCCCAACACTAATGGTGAGTCTGGAAGCATTTCAAGAGAGTCTGAAAATCTTTTAAAGAACCTGTGGCTCCATCATCTTTCCAGTCATTTGAAATAATCCATTTAAAATCCAGTTGCTTAAAACTAAACCACCAGAAAAAATATACTAGATGTAAATGGATATATTGCTCAGAAAAATAGTGAGCAACTGATAGAAAATATATGATTTAATATGGGATATGCTGTCTGTTGTATTAATCTTTGATCCATACGGTTAAAACAAAACAAAACATTTGTGTCTGTCAGCTACAGACTGTTTAGCTCACACTGGCCACACTAGAGAAGAGGTTCATGCTGTAGAATTACTACCTTTTCTATTTAATCTGTCAGAGCTACAAGAGGTAGATTGGAGAGGAAAAGATCGTGCATCAACTCCTAGACAGCAGCCCAAACAAATAGCTGTGCAAAGTGAAGTGGACCTGCTCACCTCAGGTTTCAGACACATATTTCATTGGTATCTAAACTTCATCAGTCTATGAATACACAGTCATCCAGTTTGAAAATTTTCCAATCTGAGCTTAAAGGTTTCACATTAATACTTCTGTTACTGCAAGAAATCAAAGCAGCAAAGAAATAAACCCCTTTTCCCTAAAGCCTCCCGCAGAGCTATCGTTGCTGCTTCACACAGCAACAAACCAAACTAAGATGTGTTTGGAACCACTGACTTAAAATCCGAAGTATGGGTGCTAGTCATGCATGTGCATAATCATGTTAAAACTGCGAACCCATGAGCCTAAGTTCAGACTCAAATCACAGTTCTCTGAAATGACTCGGACAACATAGGGAAGAGCTTTTCCTGATAGCTTCTACCTCTTCTACATCTTATCCTCATATAGTGTGTTGGGGGATGAAGAAGAGAAATATGATTAAGGTATTTCAAGCCTGACATGAATATTTTTCCAGTGGAGAGGGTTTTGATAATGTAGGCTTGTGGACTGAATTTGGAATTTGCTTTGCTTCTGTAATTGGGCTTCTAATGCCAGCGAAAGAATCAAGGCCTGAGACGCAAACTAAAAATACATTTCAAGGGAATGCACACATCTGTGGTACGGTAAAACTATTAGGTTACTGAATGCCTGTTTTGAATTACATCAATTCACCTGAAGACCATATGGCTAATGGAAATTTTTTAAGCTAACATTTACTGCCTTGCACAGTACCAGGAAAGTTTGTTTTGTTATTTTAGCTAAACCTATATATGTAAACTCAAATGTTTTCAACTTCTTGTAATCAATATCTGAAGGCCAAATGCAACCTGCTACAAATGCATAATCTGCAGAACAGCGAGCCGTCTTCTAGTGAAGAAGCATGTCTGCATTTTTAGAAGTGGGATGAATAAAGAACCAGTCACCTAATCCCTAGACAGTATCACCGATTCTTCTCAGAATCACTAGGGGAACCAGGACTAAGAATCTTAGAAGTAGATGCTGAACTGACGACTCAGGATTCTAACTTTAGGAGCCAATATTTGAAAATACTGACCTATATGTCTGTCCCTATGAGGAGAAAGCTCTAGCAAGCTTAATTTCCCTATGCACTTTCCCATGTACATCCCACAGTGTTTGAGGGTTGCAGATGGAGAGAGCTGACAGCAGTCCTAAAAGCAGTTTTTCTTGCAAAGTGGCATAAGACCTTTGATAAAATGTCAAACAGAATTTTATCATTTTTTAAGCACATTCCCACATATATATGCAACAATTAGCGAAATTACTGCCCAAATCAGTTGTTTAACACAGCTAGTGAGCCTTTGCCTTTGTCCTTACACTGGCAGAATACGACTTTGGCTCTGTATTAATGTCAACATCATTTCGTCAGACTAGCACGGTGGGGAGCAGTCCCAAAGTCTCAGGTTTTTTCCTGATTCCTAAGAAAATCTGACCCTTTTAGACTAGGATGTCTGTCATGATATAAACTAATTTAAAGTTTGCATTGTATCTCAGGCCATTCTGAATATATATTTCTCATTGCTGGGATGTTTTGTGCCTCTCCTGGCCCAGGATTTGTAATGTTTGTTCACCGCTGCTTGAAGTGGGTTTTCTGTAGTGAGTCTTGAGTAGTCTGTCTCAAGAATATTTACTCTCAATAACTGATCACAAATCTGTAAGTGCTGTAGTGCACATCTCAACACTAAATACACATTTAAGGCAGTAGGAATTGATAGGCATAGGTAAATAATGGCTACCTGGACATACAATTGCACCTAATGCTTTCAAAAATAGCCATTTTTTACTTCCAAGATGCTTTTCCTGTTTTCTGGCTTTCTAATTTCTACAAGAGAGAAACAGCACCGGTCTCTCAGAGCTACCACTTAGTTTATTATTCATATACTTGCTTCATCCCAGTGAGAAAAGAGGAACCTCCCCAGATGGAAAAGGCTGCATTATGCATTCTGTCTAATAAAATGTGGGGTTTTATTACTATGTTCTGGTTTGTTAGGAGTAATACAGCTTATCAATGAGCTGCACTCGTCTAAAATTGAGGACAGTTTTTTAAAGAATCATTATTCAAAAGAATTACTGTAACGAAAAACACATGCCAGACAGATTTATACTTTGATATTTTAGTTTATTTCTATATCTTTACATTAATTTCCTAAATACCTAAAACGTGTATAGGATAAAGGCCTTTCCTATGCTTGTACCTGCTATGTTTTCTGAGGTGGCCTTTCAGTTCGCAGCAGTATGTTGCTCTCCAGCACAAACATTCATTATTTGAACCTGATACTGCAGTTGCTGTGACTATGGCTGCAGTGCAAAAAATACACCTGTTCAGGGACCATCCTCTGGCCCTGAAGCAAAGATCTGGCCTGATGCTGTCTGCACTAGGTACCACCTGTCCTTCAGGTGTCCTTAAGGTCCAGCATGGTATCCCTGAGACTCTAACATATAATTATCATTATAATATGTGCTCAAAATGTCCACAGCAATACATAAGTGAATCACAGCTTATAAAAACAGTGATTTTGTAGCATGGAAATAAAATTAGGGTTGCCTTGGGTTTGATATGCTGACATGTTTGAGGTACAAAATCTGCTAGTACAGTTTTGGAGAACTGAAAAAGGTAGGGGGAGCCAAGTCTTGTCATTCTTGTTCATACTGCCCTTTTGGGAATGGTCCTTAATGCTCCCAAACCAAAAAATCTGAATCTGATCATTATGGCAGAGCATGCTAGTTGGCACAGAAGAAATCATGCCAGTAAGCTACTGAGTAATCAAGCAATGCAGACAATCAGAGTGTATGTTTCCTCCACAATGCCTGTTACATAGCCAGGTTAAACTCTTCCATGACTTCCAATGGTTGAAGAGTGCAGGACTCAGGTGTGTTATGTTTATCTGGGTAAATACATCTGCTGTTCAGTTTTCCACCTGAGACCATTAACTTTGATTTAATTATTCCTGATTTCCACTGCTGACTGAAAAGTCAAAACTCCCATTTTGTAATACTTAACCCATGATAATAGGAAAATCACCCCTTTTTCCAGCTCTGAGTTATGGGGCTGCATATTGCCTCATAGACATGTCCAAACCTGCAATCCATAGCCTGGCAGGTCAATTCATCTTACCTGTATAACATTTCCAGGGATATATTCTTTAGAGAGCCTTTGTGCCCATCTACCCTCAGGCATGGTCTCTTCTGAGACCCCATAGCCTTCAATAAGGCTGGTAGGTGGGGCTGCAGAGGAGGGGATCCCTCAGTAGGCAGAGCAGCTGCAAAGGTTGAGAGGATGGTTATCATCAAGGTTTTCTACCATCAACACACACAACCGTAACTGCACTTTGTTAAAGACTAGGTCTTTCCAAAATTACACACATTATTCAGGGCTGGAATTAAGAGATTAAAAGGAAAATGAACAGTTAGCAAAGACGGGAAGGGAAATCTTAGCTTCTGTTACCGCACTTAGCTGCTGAGGGAGGACAGCTAAATTAAGTCTGACTTCTTGAGCAGATGATCATGCACACAGCTGTTAATTTGGGATGAAGGAATGCACTTCGCATGAACTCCAAAGATGTCTTTAATTACTTTTTTAAAACTTTTTGATTAATTTTTTTTTTTTTTTTTTTAGAATTCACAACATGTTTCTGTTTCTTTCAGAGAACAATATAAGCACTTTTCAGTGGCCAAAACCAATACGCCTAAATTCCACTGGATTTTAACCAAAGACTGCACAGACCAATGGATAAAGTGTCTGCCTTGTATTTCAAAGTTCAAATTTAGTAGGTACTTGTATTTTTAAAATTTAACTGGCCAGATTCTCAGTTTGGGTAAACCAGCAAAGCTCTACTGATGTTAAGGGAACTACACCAAGCTGCATTAGCTTAGTATCTGGCTTCACAACTTTTTTTCTCTTTGTATTGAATTCCATCTTCAGTAGTCATGCACTAATAATTCATTTGAAGCCTGCAACTAAGTGTTTTTTTTTTTCTTTTATTATAAGTAAAAATATAGTCTGTGAATTTGTGAAAATGAGCAGGATCTGTGAAGGAAAGGTTGGAGGCATAAAAAGATACTAAAGCTGGACTTCCCCAATTCAGACTTTTACTGAAGTCGGTGGAAACATTGACAGAGTAGAGAATGAGCAAAATCATATGGACAGAGTGTCTTATGGCTCTGCCATGCAGAAGAGGATGCAATGATCTCCTTCCCTCTTTTACACTCAAACACAAGGCTGTTCAGAATTAGAAGGTGACAGCAACATGATTTTTGCCATCAATCTCAATGTCTACAGCTTCCAATACCAGCCTGAGGCTACACCAGACTCCCTGATCTGCCTATTCCCTAACTGTTAACACCCATGAACAGCTTTCACTGCCAATCCCTTTGCCATCCGCTTCCTTGAATTTAATGTTTATTAAATTCTTGTGTTTAATTGTATTTAATGTCTGCATCTAACAAGCTATGCAAAATCCTGTGTGTTCTGTGGGAGCAATTGCTGGGGCCAGGTTTGCTGGACGGATGAGCTGCAAAATTGAGCCTTGCTAAGGCTGTCCCTCAAGAATCAATACGAACCTATCCAGTGAGACCAAGATTTTATCTTTTAGTTCTATTATGAAGCTTTGATGAGCACATCCTAGCCTGTAACTAAAACTGTTTGCAATGAAGAGTTAGTTATGCATCTGTCAGATGTATAAAACTTAGCATATATGGGTGTACATAATTCTAAGTGAGATGACAGAACTGAATACAGCAGAGCTGTGGGTCTGCCCTGTTAGGTAGCTAATGGCTATTCAGTGCTAAAAGAGACAAGTAGTGGAGTGAATGGACATGAGAGGTCTCCTTAGGAGTCTTCAAGAGTGTTTCTGGTGTCACAGCAATCCCTGCATCTTATTCAATTTTATTCAGGTAGAAATGCAGTGCAAATCTATCTGAATAAGGATCATGAGGTTCCATGAAGACACAGAGGGGCAAGGCAGGGTGCCCTTGGGCACAAAGGCAGCCCTTAGCCAGGCAGATCCATTGAGTCTCCCTGTGTCCATCTTTCTGAAAGTCCCTCTAGTAGTCCTTTCAGCAAATGCTAGATTTTTTATTCAAAGCTTTACAGAATGATTAATCTTGCAATGTTTTTAAAACCCTTTAGAAATTGATAAAACAAGAAATAACTCAATTTACACTGTGTAACCAAAAGACAATTTGGAAAATGATCACAGTCCAGCAACATAAGGGTATTTTCTGAGCTAGATACCAGCAACAATAATCAAGCCTTCACACGTAATTGAAATGATGACTTTTTTTGCCAGGCTTATAAAAAGTTAGGCCTTGTGTTATGTGATTACAGTACATGTATGAGAAACATAAATACCCTATGACGTAATAATTGAAAACTTATATGACAGTGTGTGAGACTGAAAGGATGACCTCTTGAGCTTTTTCCCATTTCTTGTCTTTGCTTCTCTGGCAGTGAGTTTGCATGTCTGAATTTCATCTTGAGATCCTATGCTTTTACTTATAATGTAAAAAATAGATGTGCACCTAAATTACAGACCTTCATCTATTATTTTTGAGATCTTCATATTCATTTCTATATTTCCATATAGTTTTCAAATAGCATTGGACTGGTACTGCACAGATAAGTGTGATTTTTTCACATGGTTTAAATTAGCTTAGCTCACATTTATCCAACTTCATGAACAGATTCAGTTTGTTGTAGTTGGATTAAATTTAGTAAGTACATAATCAGATAGGCATGAAAACAAGGTATTTTTAAGCCAAGAAAGACAAATTTGTCCTCACTTACCTCCTGTGGAAAGCCATTAGTAGAAAGGGGGGCAGAAATTGGCTTTGTGTACTGTGGAAGTCACTGCAATGCTTTGGCCAATCACTTTTCTCCAGCTTAGCATGGTTAAGGATGCACAAGGTGACAAGTCCAACCAAAATTTTGACAATGGATTCACTGGCTGGCAAGTTGCAATTCTTCCATTTAATTGAAGCCATTGCAAAGTCCACAAGACTCCCAGAAAGCACCATACTTCGCAGAAGTTGCAGAATCATCGGAGATAGGAAATTATGAGAATATGGGAAAGTGAAGTCCATCATGACCTTCTGCAGCAGTTAGAAAATGACGTGAGGCTCAAGGGAGACCTTATTGCACTTTACAACTACCCGAAAGGAGGTTGTAGCAAGGTAGGTGTTGGTCTCTTCTGCCAAGTAACAGGTCATAGAACGAGAGGAAATAGCCTCAAGTTGCACCAGAGGAGGTTTAGATTGGATATTAGGAAACATCCCTTCACCAAAAGGGGTGTCAATCATTGACAGGCTGCCCAGGAATGTGGTGGAGTCCCCATCCCCAGAGGCAATTAAAAGATGTATAAATGTGGTAGTTAGGGACATGGTTTAGTGGTGGCCATGGCAGGGTTAGGTTAGCTGGACTCGATCTTAAAGGTCTTTTCCAAACTAAATGATTCTATGATTAAAAAAAAAAAAAGAAAAAAAAAGGCTTAAAAGTGTAAAAATTAACAGAAGTGCCTTAACATACAATGACCATGTTTCCTTCTCCATAAGATAGGACAGGTGCATGTGATGTCATGGGGTTTCCCATACTCACTTCTATGAAAGTCCCTCTGTGCAAGCACTACTCCGTCAGTCACCACAGCTCTTTCAGGAGTGCTGTGAGGAAGGGGGAGAGCAGCTGCAACCTGCAGCATCATTTCTAGAGCTGTCTGGGCATTTTGTGCCACAGACTGTTGTGTGGACTGATTCATTAAAACCTATTTATGGGAAAGGCTTGAATGTTATCCCTTGTTTCAAAAAGAAAACCCCCTCCCAGCCCTTTCAACTTGCTGAAATATCCTTTGTGGTTGCCTTTGGAAGGTGTGAAAAATCTTTCAAAACTTTTGGGGGTTTTGAAGTCTAAGTAACTTCCTGTTGAAAAAAGAAGCTAAAAACATTCAGAGAAAAGGCATCATTGGAATAAAATACATTCTTTGATCCAACAAAAGCATTTTGATTGCTGATTGGTGAAAATTTCCAAAAATCTTTGTTTTCCTCCTTTTTCAGGAGGGGAAAATTTTTTGAAAGCTTGAAACTTCTGACAAATAAATAAAAATGTTCCTTTAGTACTCGAATCACATCCTGAAAAGTTGTGGAAAAGGCTCCATTTAGCTGAGGATTTCTCAGTTCTCTGACTTCTAACTGCAAATAAATATAATACAGATATTTGATGGACAGCTCATGAGAGGGTGCCTTTATGGGGAGACACAGTGGACTGCAGTCCTTTCTTCAGCCATGTATCACACCAGGAGGCTCCTATTACATGACTAAGACCATCCAAGCAAAGCTCCCCCTGCTTCACCTCTGCATTCACAAAATGAACCCAACATTCAGCCTCGAAATACTAGCAATTTCCCTCTAAATAAAGAGACACAGGAAAGGCCAGGCTGTCTACTTGCTCTGCCTCATGTAGGCGGCCTCCTGGTGGCCACACATTTTGGTGGAAATGACACTTTCCAAAGTTTGCAGATACCTCTCTGAGATTTGCTACTGAAAGGCTTGGTTTGGTCTTTGGTGTGTTATGTTTTGTTTTGCTCAGAAATGCTATGTATTCCATTATGCTGTGGTATTTGTAGTATGTTGTGAACTTTAACAAGACAGACAGCACACAGATTTCACAACTGCTTCTTGGCTTCATGTTTGGGTTTTTTTATATCTCTTTTATGTCTGAAATCTGCCCTTAACAAAACAAAGCACTTTCATCAGGCCAAGCCTTAAAAAAAAAATACACTGGCACAGATGTATTCTTATGCTATTTGTGATTAATATGTATAGTGTTAGTTTAGTGCCATCAAGTGACCAAAAATGTGAAAAAGCACTTCTATGTGGGTTTTTGGTTTCAGATTTTTCTCAATCAAATGAAAGCTGACCTGTTATCCTTTTGATATAAGTGTAGGGCAATAGCTTCACAGGCTTCTGGCGGTCTAATTCTAGGGCATTTTTAGTAGGAATCTCAAGGTTATCTTCAAAATTTCTTGCATACATTGGTAAATCAAGGCCTCCTCTGTTTTGAAGAACTTCACTCACCTCTCTGGCTGAAATCCTTGCTGTACAGAATTTAAAATGAGGTCTCACTTGGGTGAAAACTCTTAACAATTTTTATTGTACGCTGGTATCCCTAGGCTCTGACAGAGGGTTTTTTAATGAGGGATATCATGAACTGGGTGTACAAACCCTTATTTTGTTTTCTGACATGCAGAAGCTAGCTCTGTCAGGAACAGAAATCCTAAATGGATTGGAATGATACATCAAGGAAAAAGTTTAGTATTTAGTATGTCCACTTGTACGACAAAACACCATATGAACAAGCATAGCTAATGTAAATTTCTAAGAAAACATTTCTACAAATTATTTTTCCAGATTGTACCTATCAAAACCATACTTAAATTAATTTTAAACACTCATTAGTGAAGTAGATAAACACATATTAAGTTTCTGATTTGCTAGGGTAGGACCAGTCTCAGAGGCGTTCTTCTCTGAGGTGGAGGAAACGCGCTTTCTCTCGAGTCTGTCGTACTGATTTTCCACCAGCAGCTGGAGCTGCGTATCAGCCGCCAGGACAGCGTAAACCCTACAACTGGCAGAAAAGCGATGCAAAGACTTTATAAAACACACTTGAGGGCAAAGGGAGAACCCGGGAGAGCCGAGCATCAGCCGACAGGACACGAAATGCAAGCATTTTAAAAATCCCAGGTCATGCCTTCAAGAATACTGGTCTGCCAGGGCTTGCTGTGGTCGAGAGCACAATATTACACTACAAATCATGTTTGTTACCTGGCAGCCCCAAAAAGCAGAAATATCATAGGTGCTTTTGTAAAAGACTTCTTGTGATACTTCACCTCATCTCCCCCTTTACAAAGTAATTCCTGTATTGTGTGTAGACAGTTAGCACTTGTGGTTATAGCTTCTGCTGAAATATAAGGAAGAACAAACCTTTGTGGTGTTGCTAATTCACAAGAGCGTATGGTTTACAGTTACATCTATTTTGTGATAAGCTTGCAAGAGCTGAAAGCTCTGCACATACCCTTTAGCCTTTAAAGTGGTTTCATGCGCTGCCTGGGAGCATCCTAAGTGCACGAGGAGCTGTGTAATCAGTGTTCATATATTTAGACACTAGCTATAGTTGAAATGCATATTTAAATGTGTGATAACTTCCTTTTTTTTCAGTGTATTTCCTCCCACTTCGTTTCTCACTTTCCTGTGAAGTTATAAAAATTTAGAATTAAAAAACTGTTTGCTTCTTAATAAAGTTTCTGCATCTTTCTAGAAAAAGGTTGTGAAGAAAAAAAGCTGTTATATATCTGGAGACATGTGACAGTGACAAGAGCACAGCTAACAGCAGAAACCAGCCAGAGAAACACCTGTACCAGTTGGCAAGAGATATGCATCTGCCGGAAAACAAATGAAAAGCATGTTTGAAGAGACAAACTCACTTAAATAACACTCCTAAATGACAAGGTTTCAGATTCTTGAAGGATTCAGATGCTGGTCTAGTGAGTAGTACTGGTCAGAGTAGAGGAAAATGTGAATGTCAACCAGTTTATAAAGTAGAATTTTACCTTGTCCATCATGACATTTCCTTTTGCTAACAGCATCTGCTTATGGTCTTATAACTTCATTTAGGCTTTTGGGGTCTTGCTGATTTCCTTGACTTTCTCATGGTCCCGTTGCCATCATCGTCATCAACAACTAATGTAGCTCTACTGTTGTAATTGATTTAGTGTCATGGACCAGAATATCCCATGGTGGCTATTATATACATATTAATATAGGCATATCCAAAAGATGCCTTTTCCCAAAAAATTACTGCTTACTTACATGAAGAGGTAACAAATCCTCACAGTCAGAGGAAGAAACACAACCAGAGTCAAAACCATCCAACTCACAGATACAACTGGTTAGAAAAATTGATCCCACTTGTTGGACACAGAAGCTGTGATCCGTGTAGCAATGATAAACTGTACTCTTGGCTTTTTTTGTTTTTGTCTTCTGCTCCCTTCCTCCCAAACCACCACAGCTCATTGCTTCAGTTGTCAACCAAAGTGCTGCATCCTTTAATGCCTGACCATTAGACCAAAATCTTAGAAGCACAGGTGCCTTTTGCTTTCAACTGTTAAAAATTCTTACTTACTTTAAGTATGCCATTGCAGCATATGAGCTTTTTAAGCTTAACCACCCAACAACAAGCCAAATACTGCTTCAGTGTCTAAACCATCTTTCTAACATCCTTTTGAAAGAAGTGATCTGGTACATTCAAGATGAATAGCTTCTTCCATTAGTGGTCTTTCCCTTTAGGAATTTCTTTTTACATGTTTAAATATTGGAAGGCATATAGCATGAGGAGCTGTTCAATTTATTTTCTGCATATTGCTGACTGATGTATTCCTAAGTAGTTTCTCACACTATTCTGTTCCAGTTCTTTGAACAGAGGGCTATTGAAGTCAGGCTATTATAATGAGGCAGCAATATCAAATACTGAATTCTTCTCTTTCATATCATACCAAGTGGGAACTCTGAATGTGATACTGTAAAAATTACCATATGCTTATGAGTACTGAGCAGAAGTGCGAGCTTGGTTTTGGAAATGTTTCAGAGCACACAAGAACCCAGAATTTTACTTCTGTTCCTCTTGAAATGCAAGACTGCTTCTCATCACTCCTTCTACCAGTCAGCTGATAGTGGCTATGTTTCCACCACAATTAAAAGCCCAATTTACACAGTGTGCTTTATGTCTGGTAAACATTCTCTTTGCTATGTTGCCTGCTGGACAGCCTGCCCAAACATGTCTGATCACTTTGACTCCCAAGATCAGCATAGCCACAGAGGTTTTGATGATACACTTAAAACATGTTGCAAGTTATTCCTGCATGCACATTATATGGCAATTGGTGAGTTTAATCTTTAGGGCAATTTTGGGGTTGCTCTTAAAGAATAATGTAACACAAACAATGACTTTTCTTTGGAAAGCACCTCCTGCAGCATATGGCTCATTTTACCCAGCTGTAGTTACATTAAAATTGAATATCTAACTTAGGGCAAACGTGTAGACTCTTTCCACAGTGAACAGAGATCCTATAGGAAGCAATTCATTCTCCTTAGGTGTGATGTCTAAAGTAAGAACACTAAATCACCCACATCTCTCCATGATATAGAGTAGAAACACAGAAGACTACCTCAGTCTAGAAGCTTAACCCACGTTTAGTTAAATTTAGCTGAGAAGAATCCACCCTTAGTGCCTCAAGTACAATTATTTCCTGAAGAAATTAAATTCTAAACAATCGCTCTGAAGAGTTATTTGCATTCGTCACTTCTCCAACTGCTCTGAAACAAAATATAACCATTGACTAGTTACAGAGGAGGCAGCATTTTCCAGTTAAGAAAAAATCTGTTCTTGCTTTCAGAAACATATTCACAGGACATCTGTATTAAACATCATACAAAACACGTCAATTTTTCTAGATGGGAATGAAGAAGGAAGGGCTTTAACACATTTGTTGTGTGTTCTTCGATATAGGGAAAGCAATCTAATTTGTTTATTCAGGCTCAGGCTGAGCTGTTCTTGTATCTTCCCAGTTCACCACACAATATTAGCTTTTATAGAACTTATCATAGGTTTGCTCTTTCTCTTTACCAAACTGGATTCTGATTTATGGAAAGCAGGATGCAGTCAACTAATAGTTTAGAATACATATCAAAGAAATATTACATGCTGGCATGTATGTCTGAAAATTATGCATTTGTTCTATGTAACTAAAATGGAAGCATGGATATTATTCTGTCACAGCTCTTCTTTGTAGACAAATGCTATTGGATACAAAGTAGAAGTAGTTTAGTTAATAAATAAAAGGCCTAACATAACTGGGCAAATTACCTATGGAAAAAATACAGGCATTTAAAATATTCTTAGCTGAAACCTTTTAAAAGTTTTAAAGGCAACCTACCTAAGCAAATGAAACAGTTTAGTCTTGCATCTCAGTTCATCATTCAAGCAAACCACCACCTGCCAGGGCAGGTACTTCCTAGCAGAAGTTGAGAGATAGTTGTGATTTTAGAATTTACAGAGTGGGATTTAAACTTCCCTTTGACATAGAGATGTACACACATATGATCTTGAATGTGCAGACGTGCACTTGTTCTCAAGGAAAGAAATAAAACAGTATTAACCTGCAAACTAATGTTCTGCAACATATTTGCAGTACATACTTAGTAGTTATACAGCAGGACAGAGTGACTTTTATGCATCTCAAGACATGAAGTAGGTATGGGTGCTGGAGGGGAACCAAGCTTCATAGAGTAGCTGGGACACTGAAGGTGTGAGGAGAGATCTTACTTGATGAACATAATCAGCTGTTTTTTTCCAGTATAGGTAGCATGTGTTCAAAGCCTGTTTTAATAAAGTAAATACATTATTTTCTGTTAAAAAAAAAATTGTCTCCGATCTTTAAATCTTACATGCTTTTAAAGAGACTAAGTTAATAGCACTGCATTTCTCAGCAGTGCGGACATATAGAAGTGTACCAGATGATTTCTGGATTACCATATACTCTGCACTATTTCACGTTTTATTCAGGACACTTCAAAAATGAAGTGCAGGGATCTGGCTGAGCAGGGTATACCAAACCAGAGGCTGAGAATCCAGCCCTCAAATTCTGTATGACTTAACCTATGAAAAAAGCTATTAATACGTCAGTGAAGGAATAGAGAGACATAAAGTTGTATTAGCTACCTAATCCTCCAATGAACTAAAATCAAAACAACTTATAGAATCATAGAATAGTTAGGGTTGGAAAAGATCTTAAGGTCATCTAGTTCCAACCCCCCTGCAGGTGACACCTCACACTACACCATGTCACCCAAGGCTCTCTCCAGCCTGGCCTTGAACACTGCCAGGGATGGAGCATTTACCACTTTTCTGGCAACCCATTCCAGTGCCTCAGCACCCTCATAGTAAATAACTTCCTTATATCCAACCTGAACTTCCTGTTTTAGTTTGAACCCATTACCCCCTTGTCCTACCACTACAGTCCCTGATGAAGAGTCCTTCTCCAGCATCCTTATAGGGCCCCTTCAGATTTTGGAACACAGCCTTTTCTATGAGGTTACCACACAGCTTCTCTTCCCCAGGCTGAACAGCCACAACTTTCTCAGCCTATCTTCATATGGGAAGTGCTCCAGCCCCCTGATCATCCTTGTGGCCCTCCTCTGGACTTGCTTCAACAGCTCCATGTCCTTATGTTGAGGGCACTAGAACTGCACAAAGTACTCCAACTGGGGTCTCATTAGAGCAAAGTAGAGCAGTAGGATCACCTCCTTCGACCTGCCAAGTAATCCACTTAATCATGGGTATAGTTCATGGGTGTAGGGATTTCACTAAAAACATTAATTTTACATAAAACTGTCAACTTAAATTGCTCTGTAAAATAATTGCATAAAATTCTCCCTTGTCTTCATGGTTTTGCCTACAGAACAGCTTTAAATGCTGACACTGCAAATCTGCCTCTAAGATTGTTTTGCTCCAGGTGAAATTGTAAATTACTCGTTTATTGACAAAAATTGGTTTAATTAAAATTGATTTAAAATTAAACACAAACTTTTTTGTGTACACATACAAATTGATTTACAACTAGCTCAAAAAAAACTTAGCAGAATTTAGTACATAAGAGCTGGTTTCAAACTAGTAAACATGTTCACACCACAGCTTGCAATGGTGTGATTGGGGTAAACTTTTTACAGTTCTTTTTAAATTAGTGGAATTTCTGCATGCACACCCAAGTCATCATCCAGATCATGGCAACAGGTAAGCCATGCCACATCTAATTGAAGGCACAACATTAAAAGGGACTTCATTGTTGCTGATGTTGTTCTATTGTTGTTCCTGATGTAGAAGCAGTGAAGGATCTCTTTTTCTAGCTTTTGAGTGCACACACAATGAAAAGATAGCATATGCCACAAAGAACTCAGAGCTAGCATCTGCTTTGCAGAATTTAACTTGCCCTAAATTTTTCTGAAAGCAAAACTTTTAATTTGCATCTTTAAAAAATGCTAAAACAGCAAACTTGAATAGTTAAAATTTCACTGAAAAACAGTGAGAAGTGACTATTTTCCATGACTAAAATGTGATTCCATTCTCTGACTACCTCTAATAACAATAAGCTAAAGTATTTTTCACCAGCTTTGCTTTTAGTTAATGTGTCATGGGCTGGCCATTGACATACCTTGAAGAGCAAATATATTATTGGATGATTCCTTGAAATACTCCCAACAATTCTGTGGGAACTTCACCACCGACTTCAACAGTTGAGGTTAAGCCTATTTTGAACAAGTCTAAAAATTCTCAGTACAACAAATGGATTGACATGGAACACTTGAGCATTGTACTTCACAAGGCTTTTTAGGTATCTGAAAGACAAAGCTTTACCAGATAAATACCCTGAAGAATATCTACCAGAAACCCACTATTGTAAAAACCTTCCCTAATAAATCTTTGGCACAGTAAGTTCAGTACTACACCTAAGACATGAATCTTGTATTCACAATGACATTAATGTATATATTCATATACATTCATATGTACTCCCACATTCCTGAAAGAAAAATCTATGTGCATTTTGAAGCTTGTGCTGATATGTGAGTATTGCCTGAATTGAACCCTTTATTTATTTAAGGTGGCGCTACCAGTGTGAAAATATAACGGTTCTAGGTCTTGTCATTCTGGTTCTTTCAATTATTTTGCTTTCCAACGGTTTCTTCAGGAAAGGGAAAATGAGCAGGGGTACTTACCTGGAAAATACAAGCAAAGAAAAGGACATCATTAGCACAACGCTGCCACAAATCTAGAATGGAGGAAACTAGACAGATTGACATTATAACAGCACTTTGACAGAAGAAAGACTAACAACTCTATGGGAAGGATTGGGTCCTGACTGCTCCATGACAAGCACTGGGGTTTAATTCCCAGTTTTGTGAACGGTTTGGCAGGGGGTCTGAACTACTTGACCAGAGGGTGTTTTTCCATAATATTATTGGAGAGAAATTATGTCTATTCAGCAAGGACAGGAAAAAGCATTTGAGGACACGGAGAGGTGACCTTTTAACAACGTTAGAAAGGGACTTTGAAAGAGGCCAGTTACAAAGAGCCAGAAATAAGGAATCTTAGAGAGGAAGAGAGAATAAAGAACTAGGCATTAAGAGGGAAAAGAAAATAATAAAAAACATCTTAGGATACTAGAAGTCAAATGACAGGGATCTAGTTGTATCCACAGGGGGAAAAATGTGGGGTTTGTATCATCCCAGAGATACCATGGTACACACCAGTGACAGCAGAATACAAGAATGCTAATGAAAATGGGCAGAGAAAATCAGGGGAGGATGATTCATACTGTACTGTATTCAGGAAGAGACAAGAGATACTGTTTTTGGTGAAAATTAACAGGAGGAAGTAAAAGTATGCCATGATTGGGGTCTATTTTATGTAACAGGCTATAGCTGTATTCAAAAGGAGGAAGTCAATTTTTCTGACTTATTCTGAGCATAAAGGTATTCATATTCAAAAATCTTGCCCATAAGACAATAGTGAATTTCAATTACTTAAGTACCAGTTAGAAAAATGATATGGCAGGACATAAAAGGTCTATCAAATACTTGTAGTATTTTAAGGATGATCTTTTGCTTCACAGGACAGAGGAAGTTATGAGAGGCATTACCAAGTTGAACTGCATGACCAGTAGGGAGGAACTCATTTTGATTTTAAAGGCAGAAGGTAAACTGGGTGAAAGTGATCATGACACATTTTACCAAAATAGGCTTCTCTAAGAGGAAGAAAAAGCACGCCTGCACTGCCAACTATGGATTGCATTGTTATGTAGAAACAGTTAAGCTAACTTTAATGAAGCTAGTCTAGGTACTAAAAGCAGGCTCATCATAACAGCATGCCATTTTGGATGAGTTAATTAATCTCCTTTCTGGTTTAGGCCTGAGCTCATTTAAAGCTAACCTAGATTTTCTGCAGAGAACAGACTCATTTTTAATTAAACGTACAATACCAAGCTATATAGATGTGAACAAAAGGAAGTTGGGAAGCGTAAGTAGACTGCGCTAACATCACATTAAGAGCTCTTCAAGGATTTGCAAAAAAAAGAAGTCACAATAAGGGGACATAACTGAAAAGTAACATAAAAGAATTTGCATAAAAGAATAAAATCATAAAGCCTACAGTACAAAATGAGCAATAGGTAAAAAAGGGTATAAAGGTCAACAAGAAAATGTTCTGGAAATAGATTAGAAGTGCCTAAATACTTAGTTAAATTTATCTTACCACAGAATTTACAGAAGGAATGAGTTAAAACCTATTTAAATTGTATATATTCAGGTTAATAGGGCCTGAAGAAATTTACTTAATAATATAGCAAAAATTATCTCTGAGTTGCTAAAGGACTTACATGGGTTCAAGGAGACTAGGAAAAGACAAATTGTGTCTAAGGAAAGCAGATCCAAAGCTATAGATTAATTCTTATCTCAATGGATATTCTAGAAGAAATTCCATGATGAAGAAGATAGTATAAGTTTGCCCAGAACAGATGCTCTCACATTAGTCTAATTCCCTTTTTTACAATCAATTTTAGTGATTCAGCAGAAAAAGAGAAACAGTAAGTATCATAGATCTTGAGTTTAGTATAAGTTACACACTGTCTCATGACAATTCCGTTAAAACAAAAAGCATGGAAATG